CAATAATATAAAAATATGGCTGGGATTTAAAGAAGAAACAACTTATTTATTAGCTACCTGGTGAAAATCTATTATCTTGGATGTAAGAGACGAGATGCTACATAAACATACTTTGGTTTTAAGACAGAAGATTTTCGACAAGAGTGCCACGACAATTCAACTGGCAAAGAATAGTCTTTTTAACAATTAACAAATGGTGCTAGGACAACTGGATCTCCATATGCAATAAAGTGAAGTTGGACTCCTACCTCACACCATGTGCAAAACTTAAATCCAAAAAGATCACAGACCTAAGTGCAAGAAAACATGTTGTTGTTATTGCCGTTAGGTGGTATCAAATCAGTTCTGACTCATAGCGACCCTATGTACAACAGAATGTAACACTGCCTGGTCCTGCGCAATCCTCACAATTGCTGCTACGCTTGAGCCCATTGTTGCAGCTACCGTGTCAATCCATCTTGTTGAGGGTCTTCCTCTTTTTCGCTGGCCCTCTACTTTACCAAGCATGATGTCCTTCTCTAGGGAATGATCTCTCCTGATAACATGTCTAAGGTATGTGAGACGCAGTCTTGCCATCCTTGCTTCTAAGGAGCATTCTGGTTGTACTTCTTCCGAGAAAGATTTGTTCCTTCTTTGGCAGTCCATGGTATATTCAATATTCTTCATCAACACTACAATTCAAAGGAATCAACTCTTCTTCAGTCTTCCTTATTCATCACCCAGCTTTTGTATGCATATAAGGCAACTGAAAACACTATGGCTTGGGTCAGGTGCACCTTAGTCTTCAAGGTGATATCTTTGCTTTTCAACACTTTAAAGAGGTCTTTTGTAGATTTGCCCAATGTAACGTGTCTTTTGATTTCCTGACTGCTGCTTCCATAGGTGTTGATTGTGGATCCAGGTAAAATGAAATCCTTGACAACTTTATAGGAGTAAATGTTTGTGATCTTGGGTTAGGCAACAGTTTCTTAGATGTGACACCAAAATCACAAACAACAAAAGAAAAATCAGATAAAATGGACATCATCAAAATTAAAAACTTCTGTGCCTCAAACGACACTATCGAGAAAGTGAAAGTGAAAAGACAACACACAGAATGGGAGAAAATATTTGTAAATCATGTATCTTGTAAGTGATTTGTATCCAAAATACATAACGTTTTCTTCAACTCGTCAATAAAAAAGGACAGATAATCCAGTTTAAAAAACGGGAGAAAGATTTGAAGAGACATTTCTCCAAAGAAAATATACAAATGACAGCATTAGTCATTAGGGAAATCAAAATCAAAATCACAATGAGACACCACTTCACACCCACTAGAATAGCTATAATAAAAAAGACAAGAACAAATGTTGGCTAGTATGTGTAAAAATTGAAACTCTCATACATTGCTGGTGGAATTCTAAAATGGTGCAGTCACTTTGGAAAATAGTTTGGCAGTACCTCAAATGTTAGATATAGAGCCACCTTATGACCCAGAAATTCCAGTCCTAGGTATAAAACCCTAGAAAAATGAAAACACATGTCCATACTAAAACTTGTACAAGCATATTCATAGCAACATTACTCTTAATAGCCTAGAAGTGGAAACAACCCAAATGTCTATCAACTGATTAATGTATAATGATTAATTATATTAACACGAATGGATAAAACTGAATATTATTCAGCAATAAAAAGTAGTACTGATAGATGCTACAACGTGGAGAACTTTAAAAACATTATTCTAAGTGTAAGAAGCCATTTACAAGGCATCACATATTATATGATTCTATATACAAGAAATGTCCAGAAAAGGTAAATCTAAAAGAGGTAGAAAGTATATTTAGTGGTTGCCAGGAGGGGGCAGTGAGAATGGGGAATGACTGCTAAGATATATACGAAATGTCCAGAAAAAGTAAATCTACAGAGGTAGAAAGTATATTTAGTGGTTGCCAGAAGAGGGGCAGTGAGAATGGGGAATGACTGGTAAGAGATAAGGGGTTTTTTTTTTTTTTTTTTGGGAGGAGGGAGGGAGGATGACAAAATGTTCTAAAATCGAAGGTGGTGATAGTTGCACAACTCTACAAATATAGTAAAAATCACTGATTTTTACATTTTAAATGGGTAGACTTTATGGTATGTGAATAAGTATTCTTTTATTAAGAAGAAGACTAAAGACACTAATAAGGTTACCCTTTCAAGATCTGGATTAATTACCAAAAATGTAATGATTTTTAAAGTAAGTATATATTCCATCTTTGTTAGGTATTGGGGATATAAAGATGAATGATGTGATCATCAACCCTCAAGGAATTTACAGATTAACAGGGGCCTTCTCCATAAAGCTTTTCCAAATGTGTGTAAAACATTTTATTCTCTGGACATTCAGACACCATTACAAAAGGAGGGTGTGCAGTACGTTTGTTAAATAAAGAGAAATAGTTCTGAATTGCCAATCAGAGAATAAACTAATTTCTTGCCTCCGTTTTTATACACCATGTATAGTTAGGAAGATTTAGTAATCTTGGAGCTACAATCATTACAACAATCATTGCTATCAGCAACAAGTTTCCTGAACATCTGCAGCCCAAGTCAGAACATAGCTTGTTCTCTTTTTTTCCCCCGTCTTCCTTCCCCTTGTCTATATTCCATATCCTGCTGACTTGTGATAATTAGGTAAAAAAGTGATGGGTCTTGACTGATACTGGACAGCTCGGTGATGGGGTAAGTCCAGTGCTTTTTGGCATGTTTCCTCCTGTAAGATGCTCTATGAGGAAATACACAATAGCCTACTTACTTCTGCATTCCAAATGCCTGACACATGGTAGTAGGTGCCTACTGAATGAAATAAAACTTTTCCACTGCACTGACATTGTATGAAGTAGTCTTTGTAAATACTAACACCATTCTAATTCTTTTCCTTCTAGATGTCTCACTCTTCTACTTCATGACACACATAATTATAACTGAAATGATCATCTGTATAATTATTTCTTCCAAGAAATACTTAGTATCTATCATGTGCTAAGAATGTCTCTCAACTAGACTGTAATCCTGTGAAGGAAAGGAAGTGTCCTTCACTTCATTAGCCCTAAAACAGTTTCTGACAAATTACATGTATCTCAATAAATATTTGATGAATGAATGGATGTCTCATTATTTAACTAAATTTGGGGAGTAGGCAGAAAAGAAGAAGGGGTAAGAATGAACATGGTGCCATTCCAACTCTTTTAAATTAAAATTTACTTTCTTCACAACTGAGTTAAACGTTGTACACAGAATAACCCTACTTTTAATTTGGTTATTTGTCTTTTTGTTGTTGAGGTTTTGCAGTATCTTGTAGATTTTAGAGATTAGACGCTGATCAGATTTGTTGTAGCCAAAAATTTTTTCCCAGTCTGCAGGTTGTCTTTTTACTCTTTTGGTGAAGTGTTCTGATGAGTGTGTTTGATTTTTAGGAGGTCCCATTCATCTAGTCTCTCTTCTGGTGCTTGTGTATTGTTACTTATGGTTCGTGTTGTGTTGTGTTTATGCCATACAGTAGGGCTCTGAGCGTTGTCCCTATTCTTTCTTCCATGATCTTTATCATTTTTGAGTTTATATTTGAGTCTTTGATCCATTTTGAGTTAGTTTTTGTACTTGGTGTGAGGTATGGGTCTCGTTTCAGTTTTTTTGCATACAGATATCCAGTTATGCCAGCACCATTTGTTAAAGAGACTGTCTTTCCCCCAATTAATGGACTTTGGTCCTTTGTCAAATATTAGCCGCTCATAGGTGGATGAGCTTGTATCTGGATTCTCAACTCTGTTCCATTGGTCTATGTATCTGTTGTTGTACCAGTACCACGCTGTTTTGACTACCGTGGCAGTATAATAGGTCCTAAAATCAGGTAGTGTAAGGCCTCCCACTTTGTTCTTCTTCTTGAGTAATGCTTTATTTATTCGGGGCCTCTTCCCTTTCCATATGAAGTTGGTGATTAGTTTTTCTGTCTCATTAAAAAATGCTGGTGGAATTTGGATAGAGATTGCATTGTATCTGTAGATTGCTTTGGGTAGAACTGACATTTTCACTATGTTGAGTCTACCTATCCACGAGCAAGGTATATTTTTCCGCTTATGCAGGTCTCTTTTAGAGAAAAACCCTACATTTAAAGGGACGAAAGTTGCTGCACTTGAAAGCATGTCAGATACAATTTAACTGGAATTGTTTAATCTAGTAATCAAGAGCTTTTTGTATACTATACTATCAGTTTTAGATTAACTTTGGGACCTTGGGCAAATCACTGAACCCCAATAAGCCTCAGCTTCCTTCTTTCTAAAATTGGGATGACAATAATATCTAATCTGCCTCTCATGATTGCTGTATAGTTAAATAAGAAGTGTGAAAGACATTTGTAAATGATCAACAGCATTATCACCATGATATATTATTGCTATTTGTGTGCAGCTTGTATGTGTGCAATGTTTATACAATTTCCTCAGCATATACCCACTGGAACTGGATTGGTGTCTCTTATATATTAACTATCATAGAACACTTCCCTCAGAAAATGAAATGACATTGCTAGTTGTTTACTGAAGTACACCCTAATCACTTAGTATTCTTAAACCTGTAAAAACGTGAAGCTACTTGCTAAATATAACCCTTACTGAATTCTCGGATTTCAGTATTACAGTAAAACCTGTGAGACCTGGAACTTGACAGGACTGCCTTGCTTTTCTGGGTCTCTCAAGTTTTCCACTTTTGACAGGGTGCAGTCTTATCACTTTTTTATTGCTTTCTATTAGAGGAAAGTATTTGAGTTTTCCTTCCCTGACAGGTTTCCACCTTATACAGGTTTTAGCTTTCAAAGGTTTACTGTATAACTGCCTGATAAATTTGAACTCAAGAAGGAAAGCATATATCAGATTTTTTCTAAGTTCTATTAAAAATTATGAATGGTGCATTCCATTTCTTTGGTGCATCACAACCAAAACTATAGTTTTAAAGTTCTCTTCCTGGTAATAAAAACTACATACCTTTGCAGCACAGGCTCGTATCACCTCCTAAAAGAAATATAATACAATAAAATAAACATATATTCATAATTTCCTTTAAATAAAAAATTGGCTCTTTTCAACACATTCAATTGTTAATCTTCTAATAACCAAAATCAATATGTGGGAGAGTTTATTTTTTTCATCACCTTGCAGCTGTCACTCTGCATTTTCAATGAGCTGGAAAGAATATAAATTAAAGAGACTTAAGGACATGTTTGGAGCCCTGGTGGTGCAGTGGTTAAGAGCTACAGCTACTAACCAAAAGGTTGGCAGTTCGAATCCACCAGCTGCTCCTTGGAAACCCATCTAAAATACTTGCCAAAACGAAAGGTACTGACAAACAGATTTCTGGGGGTCCACAGGTATCTCCCACAAAAAATTTACCAATAAATGTAGCATAAATACTAAAATTCTGTACTAGAACACTAGTACACTAACAGGTCTAAAAGACACACCCTGAATTAATCACAGTATGCAATTATCTCTATCAATCACAATAACAATACACATAAATATAATTCTCATATTAATAATTTATTTCAGATGAAATCCAATAACAAACAGTACTGAATGGTAAAGTATGTGAACAGTACTGAAGGAGTTACAGAAAGGAACTGCCTTTCCTTTCATGGGACAAGACCAAGAAAAGATCACGTTTGAAAGACAACTAGTAAAAATCAATGTATAATGGATGATTTGAAAATTTGCTGCTACAGAGACACCAAAAATATTCAAGTACAATTAGGGTTAACCACCATATATCATAAGCCTAGTATCGAACTAGGGAAAAACGATAACAATCAATGTGAAATCTAGAAAAAAAAAGAATGGAAAGAGAGGAATGTCAATTTTCTTATCCAGAAATTTCTAAGAGACAGACACTGTGTCTAAAGGATATCAGTAATTCAATCACTTTTTAGTGACATGACATGGGAGTCCAATTGCCTGGAATGAATCTCAGTTCCAGTGCCTACTAACTGTACTAGCTTACAAGCTGTATGACCTTGGGGATGTTGCCTGATCACAGTGAGCATCAACTTCCTCTTCTGTAAAATGGGGACAATATCAGCACTTACCCTATGGGATGGTTTTGATGATTAAATACAATTAAACACTTAGCAAGTACCAAAAATATATTGTCAGTTATTACTAATAATTAACATGCCAGTTATCACTAATCATTAAAACGTATAATCTCCTGTGGGGTAGAGAAAATTAATCAACCTTTTTTCAAAACTGGTATAAACTATTTTCAAACCTATACCAGGTCAATACCTATCTCTCATACTCATCATCTTTTTTCTCATTATCAATAATAACAACTAACACTTATTAGTGGTACAACAGATCAGACACCCTGTTAAAAGCTTTACATTTAGGATCTCACTAAGTCTTAAAAATTCTGTAAGGTAAGAATTATCACAGTGCTCATTTTATAGATGAGGAAAATAAGGCTTAATTAACTTATCCAGTGTCACAAGCTGCCATAGGGTAGAGCCTACCTCTACGCCCATGCCCAGCCAACTGGACCCTAGAGCTACACTCTTCACTATAATTTCCACCTATCTCTCTTTCTTAGGAATGAAGCTTCTGAAATTACTATTCTAGTCTATACTACTGATGTGATATTTTGCAGTGCCAATTCTTTACCATTTACAATGTGAAATTCAATTCCAGCTTGCCTTAATTTCTTTAGATTCTTTCTATACTAGCCAGATACCTCTGTTATCAAAATCTCTAACCCTTTTTTCCAGCTCTGCCTTAACAGACGCCTGAGTTCTTCTATTTTATTGAGACAAAATCTAAATTATTCTTCTATTTCTTATAGCAAATCATTTTCAGAAATACTTTGCCTTATTACTTTCCTGCTTTAATGCACATAATCTTTTCAATTCTGCTCCTCCCTGAAATGAGATTTATCAGTCTCCTTGGGCCTCTCAAAATTCTACCGCTTCAGCTTAGGCTGTAGGTGGTATGTGCAGCTCCTAAACTGATTTCTGGTGTATTTGGGCATTCATACAACATGACTCTGCTGAACTGAAGCGTAATCATCTGTTCCTCTGTCTAGTTTTTTGACTGTGGAGGGAATTTACTCCTGAGACACGCAACACTGTCCACCATTCTTGTTCCTTGAACTCACCATAATCTGGCCAATACTACTTTCTCTTGCTTCAACTATATCTTTAATAACTTCTGGATCTCTTGCACTTGTTTACATACGAAGTTCCAGCATAGTACTCAGCACTAGCAGGGGCTCAAAAGTTACACATGGAAAAAAATTTAGGTACTGCTGCTTTTGATAAATTCATAAAATTTTTAAAAATTTAGTTTTTTAAAAAGCAGCAAGGGAAATCATGCATAAACTCTTTCTACCTGGAAAACCCTTGACACTTTATACCTCCCATTTGAACAGAAATAGTTTTCTTCTCTATAAAACCATACCACATTAAAAGAGACAACGCTAGCATTTTGTAAGTGGAACTTATTATTAAAACACTCTGCCTTACATTACAGTTGGCATACTTTATCGTGGCGAGTCAGAATCAGCTTCAAGGTAACTGGTTTGGTTTTTTGGTTTTACCAGACTTTATGCAAATCGAGGTGAAGCGTTACTGTATTTTTACTCAAATAATGCACACATTCTATGACTGACTGCCAACCACGCCCTCCCACCCTCACCGCAAGGTATTTTCGTAAGCACACTCTGCTAGTTTTTTTTTTTACAGCAACCTGTAAAAAAAAACCGGCACAGTGGTGCTTATGAAGCTGCTTCACAGGGGGAGGGCGTGGCTGGCAAACAAACACAGAAGGCACACGCTACTTGAGTAAAAATATGGTAGACATTTGTGCGTCCTTTGGACTGTCACAAGCATTTCAATAACAAGTACTTGAGATAAAAAAGTTTCGAAGTTCAAACTGTTGAATCCAACCCACAAGACCAAGCTGTACCTGGTCAGCACTGCCTACAGAGTTAGTGCACAGGTGTGCAGGACTGGGATGGTTCCTCTTGCCACAAGCAGAATACACTGGCAGGTTATCAGTATGTGGGTGGATGTTGGCAGGGAGGACAATGTCAATTAGAGAAAAAGAAGTCAAGGAGGTGGGTCAAGAATTGGAAAAATAAGACAATAGTGGATAAAGCTTTACAGACAGAAAACCCAAAGGAGCAGGTTCCAAAAGGCAGAAGAGACTGACCTCCCTGAAAGGAAGACAGCAAGATGGCCAGAGGAAACAGTTTTTGTTCCCTAAACAGGAAAGTTTAGGAATTCATTTTTCCTTGAATCATTTACATAAATTTAATTATTATTTAGTGAAAATCAGCTATGCAGACTAGGAGCTATAAAGAAGAGGACAATACTTGAACTGCCCTTAAGGAGCTTAGTTTAGATGAGGGCGCTCAACACATATTTATCAAGTTCTTACTAAGTGCCGGGAACTGTGAACTAGATCAATTATTCTGAAATGTAGTCCTAGGACCAGCAGCATCAGCATCACCTGTGAACTTGTTGGAATGCAAAATCTCAGTACTATCCTAGACCTGCTCAATCAGAAACTTTGAGGGTGGAGCCTAGCAATCTGTGTTTGGAAAAGCCTGGCAGGTGATTCTGATACACACTGAAGTCTGAGAACCACTGAGGTTTTAGGTAAGATTATACAGAATTTTGAATACCAGGGCAGAAATTGCTTGTTTACATGTTATCTGTCCTCCTAGAAGCAGTCCTTTTGCAAAGTCCTGAGAATTGATAGGAAGAGTGTATAAACCTGCTAAAGACCATCTCTTTCCTTCCTGGTCCTAATCGGCCAGGGCAGAGAAGGCCACAGTCACTCCTGACTTACCAGGAGATGGAGCGTTACAGACATGTGGTAAATCCTAAGCGAGCTCTTCTGGCTCATAGCCCTCCCTCATTACTAGGTCCTGGTCTGGCCTTTACAGAGCTATTGAATCAGGAAAGCATGATCGGTTATCCTACATTAATTTTAACTACTGTAATTAGTGCTTTTAGAACAAGTAGGTCAAAGAACTATAAAAATATGAGAAAGTCTAGTTCTAAGAAATTAACTTACTTCATTAAATTGACATTCATTGGCATTGCAATGTAAAATAGGACAGAAATTATTTAAAAATTTCTAGCTTCTTAACTGCATAAAATAATTATACACACCGTGACAGAATCAAGCCTCTGTTTCACTTGCTGCATCTTCACTGAAGAGTTTTCAGCGTGGATAAATTCATCAATCTGGAAAGATCCTTGATGGGGCAGCTTAGGACAGGTGCACAACGCATCTTGACTTTGGTGTATTCCAGGTAATGGGAACGTTCCATTGTAGTGTTTGAACATTTCAGCCTCCTGCTGGGCAACTGAAGAAATGAATCCATAATTAGTTCAAATCATTATCGGAAAAGCACAACGAAATCACTAAGCCATGAAATTATAGCATTCAACAAGTGATCAGAAACTCCTACCAGTCTAACACACTTTAAATGCTGGATATTAATAAAAACAACTTGATTGACAAAATGTGAAATTATTAAATACTATATAACTATAGGGGCCCTGGTGGCTAGTGGTAAAGAGCGATGGCTGCTAACCAAAATGTTGGCAGTTTGAATCTACCAGCTGCTCCTTGGAAACCCTGTGGGGCAGTTCTACTCCATCTTATAGGGTCACTATGAATTGGAATCGATGCAACGGCAGTGGGTTTTTTTTATATAACTAACACTTGTGTGTCAGTTTGTCATACCATGGTGGCTTGTGTGTTGCTGTGATGCTAGAAGCTATGCCACCAATACTGCAAATGCCAGCAGGGTCACCCACGGTGGACAGGTTTCAGCACAGCTTCAAGACTAAGACTAAGAAAAAGGACCTGGCGGTCTACTTCTAAAAAAATTGGCCAGTGAAAACTTTACGAATAGTAGTGGAACACTGTCTGATATAGTGCTGGAAAATGAGTCCCTCAGGTTGGAAGGCACTCAAATGACGACTGAGGAAGAGCTGCCTCCTCAAAGTAGAGTAGACCTTAATGATGTGAATGGAGCAGTTTCAGGACCTTCATTTGCTGATGTGGCACGACTCAAAATGAGAAGAAACAGCTGCAAAAATCCATTAATAATCAGAACGTGGAATGTGTGAAGTATGAATCTAGGAAAATTGGAAGTCGTCAAAAATGAAATGGACTAGTCTCCGGCAAGATGGCGGTCTAGGCAGAAGCACCACGCCGTCCCTCCACAACAAAGATCCGAAAA